CGCCTCCACCGCCTCCTCCTCCGCCATTTCCGACGCGAGCCGGGGCCACCCCAACCCCAACCCCGCCGCCGCCGCCGCCAGGGCAGCCGCCGCCGCCGCCGCCGCCGCCGCCGCCGCAGCAGCAGCAGCCACCGCCGCCGCAGCAGCCGCCGCCGCCGCCAGGCCTCCCCGCGTCGCCCGACGCCTTCGGCTGTGTGTACGAGGGGGAGGGCGGCGGCGGGGGCGAGGCGGGGGAGAGGCACGAGGAGAGGCACGAGGAGGGCGGGCGGGGCGACGCTCCCTCGCTCGTCGCTTTGCTTGCCGAGGCGACACCTCCTAGACACTTCCTAGACACCTCCTAGACACTTTTTGGACTCGTCGCTTTGCTTGCCGAGGCGACACTTCCTAGACACTTCCTAGACACCTCCTAGACACCTCCTAGACACTTTTTGGACTCGTCGCTTTGCTTGCCGAGGCGACACCTCCTAGACACTTCCTAGACACCTCCTAGACACTTCCTAGACACCTCCTAGACACTTTTTAGACTCGTTGCTTTGCTTGCCGAGGCGATCGAGGCGCTGGCGCCGCTGTACGAGCGGTACGCGACGGTGCGGGCGGCGGAGTGTGGGAGGAGGCTAAATAAAGGCGCTGTTCACGCGGCGTGGCCGCGATAGGCGTGGGCGGCGGAGGGGGAGGAGGCTGTGTGCGTCATCGAGGCATCGTGTGCGCTCGGCCCCTCCGACGCCGCCCGTTCACTGCTTGATTGGTCCGTCGTTCGATACGCAGGAGTCGAGTGCGCTCGGCCCCTCCGACGCCGCAGAGCTGCGGAGGGTGCTCGAGCTTCCGCTCTCGCACCTTCGCCGGCACGAAGAGGCGGCACTTCCTAGACACCTCCTAGACACCTCCTAGACACCTCCTAGACACCTCCTAGACACCTCCTAGACACCTCCTAGACACCTCCTAGACACTTACCAGGCACTTCCTAGACACCTCCTAGACACCTCCTAGACACCTCCTAGACACCTCCTAGACACCTCCTAGACATTTCCTAGACACTTCCTAGACACTTCCTAGACACCTCCTAGACACTCGCACCTTCGCCGGCACGACGAGGCGGCGACCGAGCTGAGGCACTCTCTTCAATCTTAGTTGAGTCATTCTAGTCGATTAACTAGGCGGCGACCGAGCTGAGGTACGCTCTCCCCCGCGGCCACTCGGCGGACGCGCCGCTGCTGGCGCTGCTGGCGCGGCTCGCCCTCACGCACGGCGCGGCGGAGGCTGCGGCGGCGGAGCTGCGGCGGCGGAGGGCGTTGCGAGGGGTGCGGCGCCGCTTCAAGCCGGGCGAGGTCGAGCCGGAGCTCGTGGGGCAGACTCAGTCACTAATTAGCTCGTGACTAGTGAACGAATCAATTCAGGTCGAGGCGCTGCTGGAGGGGCAGGGCGCCGCCGGCCGCGCGTTCGTGCACGCCGGCCCGCTCCTCAAGGCGAACGGGGTCGCCCTTCCTAGACACTTCCCCGACACTTCCGAGACACTTCCCCCGCGCGGCACAAGGCGAACAAGGTCGGCCGGCTGTCGCGCGTCTACTTTCTGTTTTCCGACGCGATCCTGACCGCGGAGGAGGCGCGCTTCATCACTCGCTTACTCAACGAATTAATTAAGCAACTCATTCACGCGATCATGACCGCGGAGGAGGCCCCAGGAGGCCCCAGGAGGCCCCAGGAGGCAGCCTGCCGCTGAGTCAATAGCTACTTGCTCACTCCCCCGGGGGGGTGCGCGAGTCCTTAACTCATGACCTCTACGCCGCGAGGCGCGCGGAGGCAACTCGCGCGCCGCAGCCTCCCTCATGCGCAAGGTGCCCTCCTTCCTAGCCACTTCCTAGCCACCTCCTACACACTTCCTAGACACTTCCTAGACACTTCCTAGACGTTTCCTAGCCACTTCCTAGACACTTCCTAGACACTTCCTAGACACTTCCTAGACGTTTCCCCCCATGCGCAAGGTGCCCTCCTTCGCGGCTAATCTCGGCTAGTCTCGGCTAATCTCGGCTAATCTCGGCTAATCTCGGCTAATCTCCCTCATGCGCAAGGTGCCCTCCTTCGCGCGAGCGGGCCGGCCGCACTTCACCGCTTCGCCGCCCACGCCGCCTTGCATCGACACCGAGGAGGGGGGCGGAGGCGGCGGCGGAGGCGATGGCGGCGGAGGCGGAGGCGATGGCGGAGGCGGAGGCGGCGGTAGTGCCGGAGGCGGCGCCGCCGAGGCGCCCCAGCTGCGGAAGTGCAAGCTGCTCCCTCTAGCCGGCGGCTGGGTGCGCCTGGCAAGCCACGGCGGCGGGGCGGCGGGCGGCGCGGGCGGAGACATGTCGACATCACCGCCGCCGCCGGCGGCGGCGGCGGCGGCTGCGGCGGCGGCGCCAGCCTTCTTCGAGCTGCACCTGCCGCAGGCGGAGACCTTGATCAGTGAGTGCATCCACCAATTCATTCACTGGCGAGCCGCGCTGAACCCCGCAGGCGGAGACGGCGTCTCACTTGTGGGCGCCGTCCGCGTCGGACCGCACGATCTGGGCCCGAGATTAGCCGAGATGCGCCGAGATTAGCCGAGATCACGATCTGGGACCGCAGAGAAGCGGCGCGGCGCCCTCCCGAGGTCGAGCTGACTGCTCGACACATGCTCGACACATCAGGGCGCTGATCACAGGTGGCGAAGCTGCGCCGCACCCTCTCCGCCGTCAGGCTGGGTCCCGACTCTTCCCCCCCCCCCCCCCCCCAACCCAAACCTTAACCCTAACCCTCACCCTCACCCTAACCCTAACCCTAAACTCGCTCCCAACTCCTACCCCCCTC